TTTAAAGGCTCATTATAAGGACAAGTGTCTGGTGTATGTAAGGTTCTTAGTTATTAATATTATCAGAAAATGTTAATCAAAATTAGTAAAAGTTTTAATAAAGAGCTCCTGGCCACATAGTTGATACGTTTTACCTACACGCTGCTTTAATATTTAAATCTTGTTTACATACACCCTGAGCTCGTCGCCCAAAACGAGGCTTAACTAACATTCAAAATTCTTCGCCACAAAGGGACTATTTTTGTCGCCCTTCAGAACAGCTAAAATAGACTGACAGAGGCTCTAAATATAAAAGTCAATAATTGTGTAACGTAGGTGGTTAACCTACATAATATTCAAAATTTCCTAAGGGAACGTTAACGATATTTCGATGACGAGTAGCTTACTCTTGAAAATTTTCTGGATATGTTGCTTCCACTATACTGTCTCTCACTTCATTTATGAGATGAAGAGTGGATAAACGAAATAATGTTTTATTAAGCTTTAGATTAACTTTAATAATCCGTTAGTTTTTAAAGTACATACCAATGCCTTTGTATTTTATTAAATAGGAAGCTATTTAATTTAAACAACTATAATATAACCAATTATAACAGATCTTTACACAAAGGTAGACTTACAGACTCCTCTCGTCTCACCTTTTTTTTCATAGAAGAGGGGGCAAACGAGCATACGGTTCACCTGATGTTAAGTGACTACCACCGCCTATGACCAACTGCAACACCAGGGGAATTATAAGTGCGTTACCGAGTCTCTAGGTCGTATCGGTCCGGAAAAATCGCCGGTGGTAAATTATTCCACAGAGAAGTCGTACGCGGAAGAGAATTCCTAGTGAAACGAACAGTGGTGGAGTGCCAAGCATCCAAATTATTGTGGATGGTATCGGGAGGTTTGCCTCGTACTGCGTTCATGAAATTTAGCGGCTGGGGTCAATCCTTCTCAGAGCACTCCCCATGGTAGATGCGAAACAAAATGCAAAGAGATGCAACATCTCTTCGCAGCGCCAGTGAATCGAGCCGATCGGAAAGCACTCGGTCGTCGACGATTCGAGCCGCTCTGCGCTGGATGCAGTCGAGTGGAAGGAGCTAGCACTGAGGAGCCCAAGCCCAGAGATTGGAACATTATTCCATGTGAGGCCGAACCTGCGCCTTGTAAAGTTGCAGGCGGTGTGCCGGCATGAAATACTGCCTCGCTCTGCTGAGCACGCCAAGCTTTTTAGAGGCTAATTTGGCCTTCTCTTCCGAGTAACCACGAAACTGCACGTCACTCGATATGTCGACGCCGAGGATTCCGATACTGGCTGAGGCAACAAGGGGAATGCCTTGAAACTGAAGTGATACGACAAAGGGATTCTTTTTAGCGGTCACCGCACAAATTTGTGTCTTCTGAGGGTTAAACTGTACTAGATTTAGTCACCCCCAATCCAAGGCTTTGTTCAGCAAAGACTCAACTTCAGACACAAGTTTGTCTCGGTACTCGAAGACGTTTTCCCGATAAATATTGGCACCGCACCGCGGCATTGAAACCGGCTACAGTCGAAGTGTCAGTTACAAGATTGGCTACATCTTAAAGCGAGCTTCCATTAAAACATACTTCAAGCCGCCGAAGAAGATGATTCAGCTTTTACCATAAGTCAAACGTAATGTCCCTCTGCAAGATGCAGGACTGTACATACTTGATTATGAATGTGGCTCTTACATACTCTTACTTACTCTCACATGACTGCAAGATTTCAAGATATGGTACTATAAGTTTATACGGCGTGGATCGGAACAAAAATTAATATGTTTAATCCGGAGGTAGCCGTGGTAAACTATGACATTGAGACGTCGAACACTTCAGTCCCCCCCCCCCCCGTGACCTAGGGCGCTGCAAAGTGCTCGAAACGTCCGGAATATAAAATAAGTTAACATACACGATATAATCGTAAAAACTAGCTTTATTTAGAATAGCTATTCTTTAAGTTTTTGAAAAATTATATGATTGACCCAACAAGTAAATAAATATATAAATATTGGATGTTTTAAGGACCTTATTTTTAATACGTGCTGCTAACTGTATGATTCGTTATGTCTGTTAAAGGTTTAGTTCGAATCCGGATCGAAGGACCACGTTAAAAATGCCATTCACTTTAATTAATTAGGTATTGAATTTTAAATAAGTATTACATTTTCACATATTTCAATTACATAAAGTTCCACGAATTATATATATATATATATATATATATATATATATATATATATATATATATATATATATACGGGTATACATACTTTATTAATAAAACTTTTATTAAGCCCAATAACGAGCTTAATCTAATTAAAAAATCTCATACCACGAACTTAAACGAATACCAAACCTAAAAAATACCTGATAATTGAATTGCGAACTTCGCATTTATATTATAATATAAAGTATATTACGTGATTCATTGTAAATGCGTATGATGAATGACATTTCATGTTATAACATAATTATTATGTTCATTGCACGAATATACAGTTATGCAAGCGGGAACTGTTTCGAGAATGTAATTCTTTGTTATTAAAGCCCATTCGTGTTTGTCCGTAATTTAATATGCATTTGGAATGCCCGCCATTAGACAGTAATGTCGTTCGTCCTAGTATGTTTGTACTGTGACACAATTTATGGTATTATAATATTAACCATTTTCTAATTCCGGGGTTTTGTGACAGTTCATAAAAAGTCTGTAAAAATTACTCCACGTCCCCATGGTCAATATTGATCACTTCAAATTGTGGTATTAGTGACTAGAAAAAGCTTTCTATATATATAAACGCTAAACGCTTCTAAGTTGTAAAAGTTAAAATGAAAGAAACCGAAGATGTCAGTAAATCAAATCCTATTCTTATCCTGTGTGTATATAGTAAGCATTCTTTGTGTAGAAAGCAAGGGATTGGCTCCGATTTTAACATGATACTCCCAGACTCGATAAAAAATATAGAAAAAGAAACAATTTTTCTAAATAAACTAAAGGAATTTTTAATTTGTAAACACTACTACACACTAAACGAATATTTAAATGATTCATTTTAAATGCACACCTACGTAGGCGGTCCCATAATGAATTGGCCTAACTATGAACCAATGAAGGAAATGAAACGAAACCAATTTTATTTTTCAATATTATCACCATGAATACTAACACACTTCTGACATCTGTGAATCAACATCTTTAAATCTTTATAAAAATAATCACATTTTTTATCCTCAAAATGACTGAAGACGGCCGCCTGCAACTCCTAATCGCTTGAAAATTTTCTTCCTCTTAAGTCCCGCTTTAAATTTGGAAATAAATAATAGTCGGACGGGGCCATGTCTGGACTGTAAGGTGGATGTTGAACTTCTGTGAACCCGCATTGACGAACTGCATCCTTCGAAACACCAGCGGTATGAACAGGGGCGTTGTCATGGAGCAACAGCACCTTTAGACAGCTTGCCTCTTCGTTTTTCCTTTATCTTGTCTCGTAATTTATTTATTAAAGAAGCATAATATTCGCCGTTCACGACTGTATTACGTTCTTTAAAATCCACCATCAAAATGCCTTGAAAATCCCAAACTATTGTGCACATCAGTTTTTTAGTCGATTGTTGCACCTTTGCCTTTCTAGGGGGCTTTTCACCCTTATAACGCCATTCCATTGACTCGCGCTTGCTTTGTGGATCATAATACAAGATCATAGTTTCATCACCAGTCACTAGCCGCTCGATCACAGTCTTTGGATTTTCGCCACAAAGATCCAAAAACTCCGAAGCGCAGCGCACTCTTTCCTGTCTCTGTACCGCTGAAAGAAGTTTCGGTACCCATCTTGCACTCACTTTTTTCATGTGAAGATGTTCATGGATCGCGCGATGAACGGTACTCTTAGAGAGCCCAAGCCTTGCTGCAATTTCTCTAATCTTCAAACGGCGGTCACTCAGAACCCCCTCTTCGATAAGAGCAATCGTTTCGGGAGTGAGCACTTCCACAGGTCGACCGTCGTGGCCAAAGTCTTCGACGGTTTCTCTCCCGAGGCGAAACTCTTTCACCCAATTTTTCACTGTGCTATAGGAGGGGGCATACTCCTTATACACGCCATCCAATCGTTCTTTTATTTGGGCAGGGGATAAACCTTCTTTAAACAGAAACTTTATGACACTTCGATACTCAGTTTTCGACATTTTGAAAAAATACGCGACTCTCGTTATACAAATGCCTGTTAAACTAAGACTAAGCATTTCATGTCGATGCATGTTTCTTATATTAAGTGCACGATAAACGTACTATTTAATGCAACACAACATGTAGCGACATGTCGCGTTGAACTATATCAGGCCAGTTCATTATGGGACCGCCTGGTATTTTTTTAAATCTATTTTATTTCCAAAATTGTAGATATTTTTAGGTTGCAATACTACATAGTGTATTCATCATTATTGTTTCATTATAATGACCCTACACTCTTTTAATTGCCGTGCCCTGTAGGGTCCATAATGATCTCATAGTTTTAAGTTAAAACTAAAAATGTTCTCGACACCTTAACTGTAACATTATGTATGCAATAAATAATATGGATATGAATATGAGACGTACCTGTTCAGGGAATTGTTATTCCAGTGCCACGGCGTGCACATCTACGCCGCATACTTATGTATAACGGTTCGTATGCAAAAAGAGTTCACTTTTAGTTGCAACGCATTCGTTTATAAGATGGTCTTAAAATACTCAAACACTAGTATACTACTAAACACATAAGGGAAAATTGTACACAATGCATGTGCACGAACCATTACCGTTAGACGAAGTATAGGGCGTCGACCCACTTATGGAGTGACAACCTGGTATGGAGGCGTCCAAAAATTACGTGGGATGTTTAAGGGGGGGAGGGGTCTAATTTTACGTTGGAGAGGGGGGGGGGGTCTCAGCAAATATCACGCAATTTTTTTCCGATTGAAACAAAAAGCTGTTGAGGTTATATTATAGGAGTGATCTGCATATGACTATTCACGACCATTTTCTGCCACCTCCATACCCTATCACTCAGGCTGATGGACATTTGACGATTCCGGACTTTAAAGAGCATGACGAACAGTCATTCGCTCCATTTCTAATACGCCACTGCCTACCAATTCAACCGCTGAATGCCTTCACCAATACGTCTTATGATCTCTATTGCCCAAGTGTACGTGATGATTTAGATAAAAAATGCTGCAGTACATGCGGTATTTACTTTGCATCTATCACAAGAGCTGCAGAGCACAGGCGAGCAGCCCACAAGCAAGCGCGTATTTTCCGCAAAGTGCGACCCTCACGGATTGTCACAAGACGAGCTAATGAGTTACTCTGCGCAAGCGCAAACGGCTTAGAGTGGCTAGATCAGAACAAAGTTGAAGGAGCAGACGATTTTACTGAAATTCATATGGACATGTTGGTTCCAATAGTCTCTCTTGAGACCGCGCATGATTCTCCATGGACTGAATTAGAGTAGATATCCTTTTTTTTAATCACAGTAGGCACGATTTAAGTATTCTATTGTTAAATTTTTATTACACTTATAACTCTCAGCAATATTGATTACTAGTCTTAACTAGTCGTAAATAAAAGCACGAAGCAATTTTTTTTTCTTTTTTACAATAACAATCCAACGCGTTTACGTAAGAAACCCACATTTAGAAAAACCTCACGCGAGATTAGGGGATAGGGGATGGGGTTGAATAAAATCTCACCAGGGGGGAGGGAGGGACAGAAAATTTAAAAAAACACCTCATATAATTTATAGACGCCCCCTAAGACATGCAGGAATTCGCTGGATACAGGTGGCTCAGGATCGTGCTTTGTGCCATTTCTTGGGACAGGCGTATGTTCTTTTTTTGTTATTCAATATTGATTACATGTTATTCTCATTGAAAATCCTTTTTTTTACTTTAAAACCACTAGAACTAGAAGAACCAACAAGAAACCCAGCGGGACTTTTTTTTAAAAGCATAACTTACAATAACAACTACTTTTACGGATTTTATCGCGTTTATTTTTACTTTTTATTTTTAATTCCCGACGTTTCGGGCGCTTTCCAGCACCCATGGTCACGGGGGACTGAGATGACTGACGTCCCGATGTCATTGTTAAACCCGGAGCACCTTCAGCTTTTTTAATTATTGTTTATGGTCCGATCTATTCAAAATGAACTGACTATGTCCTGAGGTCTTGCAGTGGTATGCTTGGGTTTAGTTTTAATTTTATTGATTATAGGATCCCAAACAGGTGGTAGTACCCAGCCTCCTTCTCTATTGAAATTAGGATGTTTTTTAATTTCAATAGCCTCACGTATCATCCTTGGTAGGAATCGGTGTTCTTTCGCGAGGATTTGTGGTCTATCAAATCTGATGTAATGGTTGGGGCCGTCTAGGACCGTGTTCTAGAACATCTTAATTCCATAAACGCTAAAATTCAATTTACTATGGAGTTAGAGGCAAATAATTCCTTACCTTTCCTAGATGTGTTAGTCATCCGAAATCCTAATAACACCATTGGTCACACTGTGTATAGGAAAAAGACCCATACAAACCGATATTTAAACGGTGAATCTCACCACCATCCTTCACAGTTAGCTACCGTGGGCAAATCTTTGTTACAGAGAGCACGAGGGATCTGTGACAGCAAACACCTGGCCGCCGAGCTTCAGCACGTCAAGCAAGTTCTGCACGACAACAAGCTTCGGGTCCCGCGCCTACGTCACAGTGACCGAGTGAAGCCGGCCACAGTCGAGCGTGTGCCTGCTGTACTACCATATGTCAGAGGTGTCACAGACAAGATTGGCTATATCTTGAAGCGAGCTTCTATTAGAACATTCTACAAGCCGCCGAAGAAGATTAGTCAGTTCCTACCATCCGTCAAGTGTCATATTCCTCTACAAGATGCAGGAGTGTACAAGCTTGATTGTGAATGTGGTCTCTCTTATATAGGACAAACCAAAAGATCAATTAGGACCTGCATAAAAGAACATATAGCTGATGTGAAGTATCAACGTTCCGGGAAGTCTGCAGTTTGTGATCATATCCTAGACGGCCCCAACCATTACATCAGATTTGATAGACCACAAATCCTCGCGAAAGAACACCGATTCCTACCAAGGATGATACGTGAGGCTATTGAAATTAAAAAACATCCTAATTTCAATAGAGAAGGAGGCTGGGTACTACCACCTGCTTGGGATCCTATAATCAATAAAATTAAAACTAAACCCAAGCATACCACTGCAAGACCTCAGGACATAGTCAGTTCATTTTGCATAGATCGGACCATAAACAATAATTAAAAAAGCTGAAGGTACTCCGGGTTTAACAATGACATCAGGACGTCAGTCATCTCAGTCCCCCGTGACCATGGGTGCTGGAAAGCGCCCGAAACGTCGGGAATTAAAAATAAAAAGTAAAAATAAACGCGATAAAATCCGTAAAAGTAGTTTTAATCATGTGCAATGTTCGCGTAAATATAAGAAATCATTATAGTATAATAATCCTTACTAAATAATTTTTGATTCGTTAACATTTGACCATTTGATAGATAAGATCTGTATATTTTCTGGGACGTTGTAGTAAAAGCATATACATTGCCCCATGAAGGAATTACTGAAGCTTTGGAGTCGAATAACTAATTTTTCTTTCGTTTCTGTGTACCTACATTACTCGTACATTTAATTTTCGTTATTATATTGAGAGGCCAAACTTAATATATTTCCTTTAAATTTTCTCTAAGGGATTCCTTCGGACCTAGGTTACAAATTGCTCTTATGGCTCTCTTTTACAAATGACATTGTGCTATGGAAATAACTAAAATAATAAACTTCTCATCCTTTTTACAGCATATACTGCAGAACTAAGTTTGCTAGCTAGTTTAGTTATATGCGGCCCCATTGAAGTTTCGCGTCAACTGTTATTCCGAGAAAAACAGTGGATTCAGCAAGGCTCAGTTCCTCCCATTTAAAAAAAGCATACTGGTCACCGGTTTAAAAATAGGTGTGATGAATTTAAAAAAATCGTTTTTTTGCCCGTAATTCCGAGAAATAAAAATATTTCGAATAATGTTAAATGCGTGCGCCAACGAATCTTTGCTGATCTCTGTTCCAAACGATAGGTAAACCTTTGTTACTTTACTTTTCACTTTAATATAGTGAACACTCTTGACTGGTACAATTCCATATTTCGTAAATAACAATTCAGCCAGCATTATGTACTCAATTCATATTGTTAATCTATCCCATATATGTGGACAGGCCGTAGATAAAGTTTATATAAAAAAATGTCATTCAGCAATGTAACAAAAACCATTACCTATTTAATAGACCGTAATGACAACTTTACGGCTGAATGTGTAGTTGTCAACAGCCGTCAGTCTACACGCTCAATCAGTGCTGCGGCGACCGCTATATTTGAGAAAAAAATAAAATAAATTTTTAGGCAGGAGCATTTACACTTGAAAGCGAGAGTGCCGGTGATGTTATATTTACGATATACTAATTAAGACTGGATGTTAAGCCATTTCTGCCGACGAAATATTTAATGTACAAGCTACTACTATTCATTATCATTTAAAGATCACTTGTAATATACAACTACATCTTCGCTTTGCTTTGATACAATTATCAAATTAAAGTAAAGATATGACATTTGTATATTTAACGTATATTTTTAATTTTTTATAATTAAAATAGAGATGACATCCACTGAAATAAAAAATACCTCTCTCACTTTACTTTTTTATTATTAACGTACATACACTCGAAAACCCAATGTAACCAAGCCAAAAAAGTTACGGTACCTACCTAATGTTGCTGTATCTATGAAAACTTTGGCCTTCTTTCTATAGGTATATAGTATAGGTATAATACGTATCACTTGCTGTTTTGGCCGTAAGTTTTCTAAAAAAAATTATAAAATAAAATAGCTTATTCTGATTCGGTAACTATGTTGTTGTTACAGATTTTGTTTCTTGTGTTGTGTTGGAAATGTTTAAGGCCTATGATTAAATATTATTTCTTTTTTTCATATTAATAAAAATTAATTACCTTTAAACAGCCCTAACTTGCAAAATATTTTTATGGTAAAACTAATTACAATTAAATATCATTAAAGCACTTCAATGGCTTGTAAACCAGTTGTACGGCCCAGAAATTTTAATGCGGTACGTTCCGACGTGAGTTCACCTGCGTCGAGGTGAAGGTCACGCTTCTCGTGAACCAAAAATGACGACAAACCAGACTCGGCGCGAAATGTTAACATAGTATTGTATTACCGCCACGTCGCCGGCCATCTTGGATTTCGGCTTGACCGGTTTTAGGACGGGACGCAAGTGGCATCGGAATGTCAGTTTATTGGATTGCTTCAAGCAATTGCAGAGGCAGATAGAATTAAGATGGAAATTTTCGTATAATTTATCCGCGTTAGTTATACAGTGAACTATAATATAGAATTATTTTTTTATAGGAGAGGGGGCAAACGAGCATATGGCTCACCTGATGGTAAGTGATTACCACCGCCCATGAACAGCTGCAACACCAGGGGGATTGCAGATGCGTTGCCGGCCTTTTAAAAAAGAATAGGCTCTTTTCTTAAAGTTAAAGTCGTATCGGTCTGGAAAAATCTCTGGTGGTAGTTGATTCCCCACAAGGAACTTGTGTGAGGTAGAAAACTTCTTTTAAATCGCTTAGTGGTAGACCGTCGGTCATTCAGATGGTATGGATGGTATCGCGAGTTTTGTCGCGATGTGCGATGATGAAACTGTGCGGCTGGAATTAGTCCGAACAATTCCTCAGAGCACTCCCCGTGGTAGATACGATAAAATACGCAAAGAGATGCAACATCTCTTCGCAGTGCCAGTGAGTCAAGCCGATCGGAAAGAGCTTGGTCGCCGACGATTCGAACTGCTCTGCGCTGGATGCGATCAAATGGAAGGAGCTGGCACTGGGGAGCCCCGGCCCAGAGATGGGAACAGTATTCCACGTCCGGCTGAACCTGCGCCTTGTAAAGTTGCAGGCGGTAAGTACCTAGGCATGAAATACTGTTCCGCTCTGCTGAGCACGCCAAACTTTGGCCTTCTCTTCCAAGTGACCACGAAACTGCACGTCACTCCATATGTCGACGCCGAGGATTCCGATCCTGGCGGAGGCAACAAGGGGAGTGCCTTGAATCTGAGGAGATACGACGAAGGGGTTATTCTTAGCGGTAAACGCGCAAACCTTTGTCTTCTGGGGATTAAACTGGACTAGATTTAGTCGCCCCCAGTCCAAGATTTTGTTTAACAAAGTCTAGACTTCAGACAGAAGGTTGTCCCGGTACTCGTCGACGTTTTCTAAAGAAATATTGGCACGGCCGGTGTATAAAGCATCACCAGTGCTGACACTACATAGCATTGAATGCTACCGATTGTATTGTACCATATTCAATGTAAGATTTTGAATCAGGTAATATGATGGTTCATTTTAGGCTTCGC